CAGCAATGCAGAGCTGTTTCGTAGCCATGCAGCAACCTCGCTCGCCATGCTGCAGCTCAGCGAGTCGCCTGGTCGTAAAGGCACCAAGGGAAAATCCTCGTAGGCACTTGTCCTGCTCCACCTCGTTCTTCCAGCCCCCTCAGCATGGCTCCAATCTTGCTCGGCGCACACCCTGCCTAGACGCCCTCTAGCTCTGTGGCTAGACAGCGATGGCGTCAGAGAGAGCGCAGTCGATCCCCTCCCCAGTTAGGCAGTCAATAGTAGGCTTGGAGCCCCCTGGCTCAACCCCTCCGCTTGTTAGTGGTCTAGATCTCCTCACTGGCGCGCTGAACCGAGCCGTCAGCGGCGATGCTCCGGTTGCAGCCGTGGGTGAAGCACCTCCGTCGCCTCTCCCACCCTTAGACGACGAGCCGTGGGTTTTCTTTGACAAAGAAAACTCTACGTGTGATGCTCCAACGTCGCCTAACCCGTCGTCAACACCTGGCTGCTCAACCGTGCGAGCCGTCTCCCCTTCACGCGTGACGCGCGGTCCTGTCCTACCAGTTCGCGCTCCTGGCAAGAAGTATCGACAGCGCAAGCTTACGTTTGGCCGACCAGCGGTGGCTCAGTCTACACCCTCTGTCCAGGTGCAATCCCGGTCTTCCGAAGCATCTCCCGCCGACTCCGACGACGACGATGGTCCCTTTCCCCTCACAGTCGCCGAGCTCCAGTTGAAAGCCAAGGAGCAGTGGCAGCGGTATTTCCCATGGCTGCTGATTTCCGAGACTTCTGAGGGGCGTCCATGCATGAAGTGTAGCATCTGTATGGGGTATAACAACGACCCCAACTACCAGTATGGGCGCAACGGCGAGGGCGGCATCGACATACAGAAGCAGACGATGCGCAAGCACCACCACAGTCAAAAGCACGAGGCGGCGATGGCACGGAAGGAGCAGAAGGATGGCAAGAATGCGAAACAGAAGTCCATCGTCGACTTCGAGAACGGGAACGATGAGGCAAAGCGACTGAAGCGACTCATGGCGATTGTGATGTTCCTCTGCAAATCTGACGCCCCCGTTGTGTTGTTTGTGTCACTTGTCCAGTTCATGGCAGAGCAGGGAACACCAGACCTACCCGTGAAGGACAACGGTACCTACCAGAGCGAGTAAGTGTTTTACGTGATACCAACCCGATGTACTGTTGATTTGTTACGTGGTTTCTAGAAGGCTGACACTGTACTATTATGCATGCGCAGGTACGGTTTCAATCAGGTGGTCGACAACATCGTCACTTACCTGCGAGCCAAGCAAATGACCCACATCAGGGCTTCACCATTCTTGGGCATCCAACTCGATGAGTCAACCGACCGCCGGCGGGGTAAACATATGATTGTTTACCTTACCTTCCTCCGCGACACGACGGTGGTGACAGAGTTCTTCGGGCATCTCACCGTCGAGAAGTGTGACGCCGCATCTCTGCAGGCCGTTCTACTCACCCACCTCGAGTCTCAGGGCATCGAGCTCAACAAGATTTGCGGCATCAGCACCGATGGAGCCAGTGTGATGACGGGTGCGCAGGCAGGCCTCGTGGCTAGGCTACGCACCCGTATTCCACACCTGGTTTCCTGCCACTGCATCGCGCATAGGTGATTCTAACATTCTATAACAATGCATATTTTAAAAGATTATTTCGAAACTAATAAAGTTTTTCTCTCAATCTGCAGGGAGGCTCTTGCTGCCAAGGACACTGCAGATGATTTCCCGGACTTAGGCATCGTCGACAAGGTCGTGCGGTCACTGGCCGAGGTGCTCGGCCGGTCCATCGTCGTCCACAACCGTTTCAAGGAGCTGCAGGAAGTCGTCACTGAAACTAACCTCGAAATGCAAGGCATTCACCAGATACGTTGGCTTAGTCGCGGTGAGGCTATCCAACGGCTTGTTGATGTCTTTCCCGCGGCCATCCTCCTGCTGTACGAGTATGATAGGAAGATGTATCACGTAGTTGTCTCGTTGAAATTTCATTTCTTGCTGTACTTTCTGGCGGATATGCTGCGGGAGCTGAACACGCTCAACCTCAAGTTCCAGCGTCGCCAGGTAAGCCACATGGTGTCATGTCGTCGGATTTAGGAGAGTGATGATAACGAGCAAAACCATCTCCCATTTCTGTCTTTGTATGGCAGGTCGACGTCACCCAGGTTCTTCGGATGGTCGACAACACTGTCGTTACACTGCGCGCACGCTACGTAAATTACAACACACAGTTCGGCCCACCTGACGGGGACTTCGCCGACTTTCTGCATCTGTACGCGGGGGGCGAGGACGTGACGATCGAGGGGATTGACGCACACGGGGCGCCGACTGTGCACACGTACACTCTACACACAAAGCCGCTGGATGGGCAGCGGAGCAACGGGGATCTGAAGTCGCTACAGCAGCTCGCCACGGACGTCGTCAACTGTGTCATCAACCACCTGCAGGGACGCCTCAAGGATCTATCGAAGCTCAACGGCACAAGACTTTTCAAGCAGACGATGTACCCGAAGTCCACTGCGAGGCGCGAGCGGAAGTTTCTCGAATGGCTCCAGTCTCTGCGCGGCCTCTACAAGCGTGATGCGTCAGCGCCCGACACTCTGCCGGGTGAGTTCCAAGGGGTTGTAAGTGTCTTCATGGCTCGGGTGTTTTCTGGTTGAGATATTTAACGAAGGCTTCTGTGCCTCTATTTCACCCCCCCTTCAGGTGTCCACTGGGGCAAGGCGAAGGCCGAGCTCATCAGTTTCACCACCATTATGTCGACACACAACGACGAGCTGGGCTTCCACGATGCGCTGAAGAACGTGCTCTCCACGCCGGACTGGATGACTGCCTACCCGAATTTGGTTCTCATCTGGATTGCCTGCGCCGTGCTGCCGCTCAGCACAGTGGAGTGTGAGCGCGGGTTCAGCCGCCAGAACGTCATCAAAAGCTGGCAGCGCGGCAATCTCGGTGATGCGAAGCTAGGCCACTTGATGACGGTGTCGCTGCTCGACTACCCGATGGACTGGGGGAGTATGGTGGCTAGCTGGCGTGGAACGAAGAAGCGGCGACCTGCCAAGGAAGTTGTCATGGATCAGACCGCACGGCAGGTGAAGCGGCCCAAGACGTCGGCGACATTGAAGGCGGCAAAGGCAGCAGCCAAGGCAGCAGCAGAAGCAGCCAGGCAAGCAGAAGCGCTAGCAGCAGCAGAAGCAGCCAGAGTGTTTGAAGAGGATGGTGCGGTTGGCCCAATCTGGAGGAGGAAAAGCAAGGGCAAGAAGGTGCAAGTCTCAGAGAGTGACAGTGATGATGATGACATCGAGGAGGTCGGAAGTGATAGTTCAGACTCCGAGTAGGCAGATGATGGTATGGCACAGCATGGTTTAGTATAAGGCTAATTCCTAATGTAGGTTGTGGTAGTGGAGCATCAGTAGCACTAGAGTTTTTTCCAGCTATTCTTAGCATATACGGTAGATGCAATTTCAATGGATGCTGACGACGTGTAACAGTTGTTTGTGTAGCACTATAATGTAGCACATTCGGCATTGTTATATACTAAAACTCCCGCAACGTTTCGTCTGAATTGTCAGATCGTGCCAAATGTTTCGTCTGAAATGCCAGACCGGCAAAAAAGATTCGTATGATGGTCAGACGAAAGTTTGAAACCCCGTCTGAACGTCAGACGGCCTAAAATCCTAGCTGAAACCCTGCTCTGCACAGCCCACCCCTCTGCCTGTAGACCACAGGCTCTCCGCTCCAGTGCCTGAGGAGTTGGTAGAGCCCAGCGGCCCCTACGCAGAGCTGGTGGGTTGCCTCATGTACCTGATGACTTGCACTCGCCCAGATCTCGCATACCCTCTCAGCATCCTGGCTCGCTTTGTGGCCACAGGCAGACACCGACCGCAGCACTGGTCTGCCGCTAAGAGGGTTCTGCGTTATCTTGCTAGTACATCGGGCATGGGGTTAGTGCTAGGAGGACGCAGGCCAGCGGTCCTTACTGGGCACACAGACGCTTCGTGGGCAGACGACGCTGAGACACTCAGGTCTACCCAGGGCTACTGCTTCAGCCTTGGCTCAGGTGCCGTCTCGTGGAGAGCTACTCGCTCCTCGTCTGTTGCACAGTCCAGCTGTGAGGCTGAGATCTACGCCGGTGCCATGGCGGCACAGGAGCTCCGCTGGCTGACCTTCTTGCTCACTGACTTAGGTGAGCGACCTAGCTCTGCCCCGGTCCTGTTCGCTGACAACAGGGCCATGATCCTCCTGTGTCAGGAGCCTCGACTCGAGGGCAGAGCGAAGCACATTCAGCTGCGGTACTTCCTCCTGCGTGAGCTACAGCAGCGACGTCAGGCTCGCGTAATACACTTGGCCTCAGGTGCCAACACGGCTGATATCTTTACGAAGGCGCTTGCGCCTAAAGATCATCAGCGGCACTGTGTACAGCTTGGTCTAGTTCCTGTAGCCTCTCACTTGCTAGGACCTTGACTTTGTACTGTCCTTTATATGTATACTCAGACTGGACTTGTGTCCTCTCCCAGTGGCTGGACTAGTAGTGCCGCCCTGCTCTTGTGCTTCCCTTGTCTGTACTCCTTCTGACCGGTCGCTCAGACCCTTGTCTCAGAGGTTGGACTAGTAGTGCCGCCCTGAGCTGCTTGTTTAGGGTATTCCCCTATGCAGTCTAGGGGGTGTGTCAAACATGTGTATTTGTCATGTTTGTAATAGACTGTATAGAGTCACCTCTTAGAGGAGACAAAACTTAGATATATTTGTGTGTACTCTCACTTTACTATTATTCAATTATTCTGATATAGACTGTATAGGGTCACCTCGTAGAGGGTACAACACTCTTAGGTATATACCCTTGTTGTCTCTCTCTATTCAACACTTGTTTAATTTTTTAGTTTCTAACAGGGACTATCTTAGGGATGCATATGTTACCAACCAGTAAGAGGATCAATACCGTTCCCCTAATGCATTACTCTGAATCTCCTCCAGAACTCCATGTCCACCCGTCGTACCAAACTCACTATATAGAGCAGTATGAAATCAGGGTCAAAACAGACACGGTCACACATCAAATGTAACCTGCAGATTCGTACCGCACTGGCAGCATAGAGTGTGCAACTCCCTTCACTACTAGGGCTAAAAGGGATACAAACGATACAGGTGGGGACATGTCGTTGCTCCACCCCACACAATTTCAAACGCAAAAAGGAATCCGCTCGTAAAAACTCCTACCTACGGATAGCAAACACGCGGAGGCACGAGCACAAGCACTTCCTCGAGCAGACGCAGGTCGCAGCAAGCGAACGCAGATATTTACACTTAGGCGCCATTTCGGGCGCGATGTCACAGCGACCTAATGATTCGAGCGGCATCCACGCAATGGAGAGTTGCGAGGCGGACGACAGTGGAGGAAGGGAGGTCATGGCGGGAGGAGCGAAGCATGACCAAGTCCCTCTCCAGCTCCTCGAGGCACACTTCCGCGGCTGCCTTGCGCTCCAGCCACGCTGTCCCTCCGCGCACACCCTGACAGGGAGACACGCCGGAAAAAAAAGAGCGCAAGATTCGAGGAAATGGCTCAATACTCGGGGAGGCGAGAGGAGCAACGGTTATAAAGAAAGAAGAACACGTGGGAGTGAATGTTAATGCGACGACGAGGATGTGCTAAGAGGGACGATAAGCCACCGTACATAGACAATGAGCCGCTGGTTTCTGAAGTAACTTACTCGTGTGGGATGGCCCATCATCGCAAGCAGCCCAATCCGCACTCTCTCCACTACCGCAGCTCCCGCCGCGGCCAAGCTAGCCCCCGATACAGTCACAGCCGCGGTAGACCCCTCAGCGGCGGACACAGGGGAAGCAGATTCTAGCTCGCTGGAGGCTGATTTCAAAGAGCCCGCGGGGGAGGGGAGACTCTGCGAAAGGCGACCGCGGCGGGGGACATTCTGCAGGACGTTGGCGAAGGCGGAGAGGAAGGCGGACATGGCATGGGCGGAGGGGAAAACGGGCGTCGGCGGAAGGGACGCGAAGGCGTAAGGCGCAGACTCGAGGGTCGCTCGAGAGAATGTCGCCGCGGATGCGCCGGCGTCGCCATCGTCTTCGGTGACATCCATAGCTGGGGAGAAGAATCGCACTTCCTGGCCTTTCGGATCATAGCGCTCTCGCTGAGTGAGGGATTCTGGAGCACTGCCGGCGTCAACGTCGCTGGTAGGAGCGAGATCGGCGGGTGCGGCGGAGGCGGCGTGCGGCACTGTCGAGGCGTGGCGGTTCGGCGTCGCTTCCGTGGTTAGTGCGGCGGCTTTGGCGGGAGAAGAGGCGAAGCGGCCGGTGGTGGCGGATGGAGGTGGAAAGGCGGGGAGTTGTTGCGACGTTTGGGATGGCGGGTAGGAGGAGCCTTGCGCAGACGCGAAGACGGGTGAATGCGTCGATTGTGCTCTGCTGGATGCGATTAACTTCACGGGATGCGCGGGAATTTGGAGGTAGCAGGCCGCCATTAGCGCACTGTTGAGAGTCAGGACCAGCTGGCAGGGTAGGTGGAAGAACCGGAACTGAACTGGTGGTGAGAGAAATGACAGGGACTCAGTTTGTCATGAGACATTTCGCTGCTGCTCTTGAAGACAGGCTCGTCAACGGACAAGAGGGTTGCTTGTGTGGGGGGGAGGGGAGCTGGGGGAGGAGCAGTTTGTTGGGGAGAGGGGGCTTGTTTCAGACAACAGAAATACAGGGGATACCACACTGCACCGCACTATAACTTACGCGAACCGAAACCTACGTGTAAGGTATCGTAAACAGTGTCTGTCTCCCACGTACGAAGTGTAATTCGTTTGGATGGAACTTGGACAGCTTTGCATGAAAAATGTGAGCGAGCAGGCGGAATGATGATTGCGTTCGAACAACAGTGACAAGCTGCGAAATGTTTCTGGCACGTGCATTAGCTCATCCTCAGCAACCAATCGCCGAGAGAGGAATGGGCGATTTCTTCTGCATTCAGGACGTCGGCGCGAAGAGGCGTGAAATCAGCCAGGAAAAGGGAATCAAAAGAGAGTTTGCGCAGAATTCGTGTCCCGAGATCTCCTCCTTGCATGCCACGTGGATATATCGGAGGATCCATCACGTGGGACCTGCCACCCGATCCGTGTCAACCTACGAGCGTGTTCCATGGGTTTCCTTTTATTTTCGAAGAGTCGTGAGGAGGGGATGTCTTCGAAAAATACCCTGCGACTACCGCATTTTCAAGCATCACACATTTTTAAATATTAATAATTTTCTATACTATGTCTTCAGCCACATTGCCATTCTTTTAAATCGCAGTTGTGAACCAGATAGGGCACATGAGGAAATCTCACCAATCATTTCGATGATGCGATATGATTGCTTTAGGGCGGGTTCAAATAGTACGTCAGATTGCGGTGCAGTAACTTTCTTAGTGTTTCAAAGCGTTCGACTAGCAACCTAGAATGGTTAGGTACGGTATTTTGCGATAACGAACTATTTAGACCCACCTTTATATTCAATGCGCAACGCCGACCCCATTCCCCCCACCATCATCTCGACAATGCTGCCTTTCAAGGCAACCTGATTTGGCACGTGTCAGCAGCTGTTATCAGGTCCAAGTAAAAGATGGGGACTTCCTTCCATGCACCCTGTGTGGCGCTAACCTGGACGGCACGTGCGCCACTTCAGAGGGCTGTTGATTGGTTTGGGGCCAATACAGTACTTGGGTGGCTGAGGTCCCCCAAAAACAGCCCTGAAATTTCCGGAAAGCAACCGAACTGAGCGCAGAAGCGTACGGGCTGGGGTCCAAACCAGAACTTAAAATCAGGGCTGCGCCGGAGACTGTACTTTGCCTGAGAGAAAAACTTCGTAATCGTACATCACGGTAGGCAAGGTGCTGAGTGGAGAGGCCAACCTATTTTCGCGGGAGAATTTGTGTGCCAAATCTGAGAGTAGTGCACATTTCTCATTTATTCATAGGTGCCAATTTGTAAGAGAGTTTGGAGGGGCTTGTGACTTGCGTTGGAGACGGCCAAAAAAATATCGGTGGAGATGGGGGAGGGGGAAGTGGGGGTGTGGGAGGAGGGGATGTTGGAGTATTGTCTCGGGCTGTGGGGGCTTGTCGAATTCTCTGGGGGGGGTGGGAGGAATGTCTGCGGGTGTGGGGCACTTCACCGATTTTCCTTTGTTCAGTTGGGGTGTGGGAGGAATGTCTATGGTTTGGAGGACTTCGATGAATTTTCTGGCTCGGGGGATTCTCTGGGGGTGCGAGGGGTGTGGGAGGAATGTCTTGTGGGGGACTTCGAAAAAAAAAAAAAACCGGGTTTGGGTGGGATTTGGGAGGGATGTCTCTGGTTTGGAGGACTTAGCCAAATTATCCTTGCCGAAGGGGAAGGGGGTGTGGGTTGGTGTGGGTGGGCGAGGAAGGTATGCCTAGATAAGGGTATGTCTAGATCCAGTTACGGAAAATCAGGAAAAGGCCTAAACTCAGCCCTGAACGAATCCGGGAAGGGGCCTAACGAAACCCTTAACAATCACGAGCTAGTCCCGAAACAAACCCAGAAAAGTTGGACTATGGCGGACGGCTTACCCGGAATGTTCAAGGCATTAAGAGAATTTGCTCTTGAATCGACATGCCTTCTTCAGACCAGGGATTATTTTTTGTTTCTGGCCCCTCACATATCCAAGTTGATCGAAGATACGTTGCAGGGTTCAGCTCAAGGATACCTTCGTAAAAGTGGGTCCTCTCGAACAGGAAGATCATGGGTGTTAGGGCCGTGCATTTGGTTCAGTTTCAGATGTTTTTAACCTCTCCGCGGGAGTAGCTCTCAGCTGTAGAAACCACTGCAGGTGATCCTGCTTCGAGTGCAAGAAATATGATACGGATTACGGGACAGATTCCACGACCTTTCTACTTCACAACTTACTGCATTCAGGGTACAGCCTTCCCTCAGAATCTTAGAGTTTCCAGGACGCAGAATTCTTTCTGAGATCTCCATGCCACTGACTTGAACTAAATTGAGGTTGCTACCGTAGAGAAATCAGCCACGTTGGGCATTAGCGTTTTTGGGTTGCGTAGAAACCCCTAACAAACGTTCTGGCATTTCTGGGGTTTTAATCCCCCATAGCATACAAGGTATGCATAATGAGTATATATACTGCTGGTTATAGCTAAGTATCCCCCATGCCGTAAATAATGCAGCACGTAACGAACATCATATTTGTAATGAATTTATTTGTTTTTCCTGGTAAATTTCTGTGATTTTCGATGACATGACCCAAGAACGATCAGGACAAGTACTTGAATCTTGGTCAGAGAGGCGAAATTTGCAGAGAGGGTGCGAAACGAAAATGGGGTTGGGGAAGCGCGAAAGTTACGGACCTCGTTTACGAGAGATGGGCGACGTTTTGGCGACGAGTGGAAACAGGGAGGGTATGAACTAGAGGTGGGGCGCGTACAAGGATGAGAATATATCGACCCCAGTATGTAACTAGGACTGTCGGGCCAAAAGCACACACGAGTTACCCGAAACACGCCCGGCTGCCCCAACCGATTTGTATGGAATTTCCATTCCTTACTACGTCGTACACTAGCGCGTACACCCAAACTCCTCGACTCGTCACGTTCGGCCTTATTTGTCGGCCCAACCCTTTCCCGCCCGCGTCCGGCACTGTCGCCACATTGCCGAACCTACTCACGTTCCGAGGTTATCGCCAACCCCTATATAACCTTGTGACTTCATTGCAATAGCGACCTTGTATTCCCACGTTATATTTCATTGACACTTCCTATATCATAACAGCTAGTATCAGAGCCCGAGCTTTCCATGAACCTTCCGTTTTCCCGTCTAATTGGTTAAGGGTGGTCAGAGGGGATTAGCACAGCTGCACAGCAGTTGTCTTCGATCGTAAATATTTGTACGTCAACAACTACAGCGTGTGCGCTAGCTTTTGCCCTGTCCTGATCGCCATGGCCCCGGTAGACTCGACAGTTGAGGGGCAATTCACCTCAACTACTGCGAACCTTGCCTAGGAAACTGTAGACCTACAAGCATTAATGGAGCAGTTGAAGAATTTGACAAGGGTCGTCAATGACCTCTGCAACGAGAACGAGCGACATTGCCAGGTGTAGGAGAGGCGTCCAGAGGAGCCGGATGACGACGCACGAAGCGAGGCGGGAAAGCAGCAACCGTCGCCAGTGGAGCTGGCACAACTAGCGGCAACAGCCCCGCGATCGACAAGTGGCGGCGTAAGATATCAGCAACCCGCTCTTTTCGACTCAGCTAATAAAGGCGTGAGAATGCGGCAGTTTATTTTCGCCATGAATAACTATTTAAACGCGGTGTGCATCGGAGACGATAAGAAGCCGATCAGTCACGCGCCAACACTGTTGCAAGAGGCTGCCCTACAGTGGTGGAAGGTCATCGTCGACTCAGTGGCAACTCGCACAGAAGGACAGCACGAGTGGTCCGAAGAATTCGGCGACGAAGACGAGGCAGATCTGTTGTTCGGAGCGACCCAAATTTGCACGTGTGCAACGTGGTGCGCAGAACTTTGCAAGCGGTTTGAGCATGCCCCTGACTTAGACTTGGCACGCGAAACTCTACGCATTTGGAAGCAGCTGGGATCTTTGTCCGAGTACACCGCATCATCGTTGGTCTATACATATAGCTACATGCACGAGTTGGAGAAGGTCAACAGGTACATGGGTGGCTTGAAGCTTGAAATACAGTACCACATAAAACTGCAACGCCCTGCGAAGCGGTTACAAGACTACATCTAGCTCGCCGAAGCCGCTAATTCGAGGACGAACTTCTACGACGGAGTTCGCTCTCAAGAACAGTGGCAGCGCGCCACGATAAAAAGGGTGGACACAGTGGATATTTACGCAGTTGCTCCACACAATACGGAGCTATGCTACCACTGTGGCAATCCAGGTCACATCCGATGCAACTGCCAAGAATTCATAGCCCTCCAGAATTCTATGGGTAAGAAGTCGGAGGAGCGATTGGGAAATGGGTCGCGTCAGTAAGTACTGGGCCCCTTACTGACGGGCAGGCTTCTTCGCCCGAGCCACACAGTCCCCACTGGGTCGTGATCCCGATTGCTGCAATCGACCGGACCCGGACGAATAAGGGGGACGAAACACTGTATTACCCTCACTCAAGTATCTACCTGAAATCGACGCCCGACTGGTGGACGGAACACCGCTGGCAATATGGGAACGGGTGGAGAACGTTGGTTTTACTTGGAGGGAGCATGTAAATTTTCGAATGGGACTACTGGCGACGACTCTTGATGAGGGGAAGACAAGGAAGAGGAGGGGAAAACGGGTGTGGGCAGCATGGGAAATGGGGAGGAAGAGAGGGGGAAACATAAACGAGGAGATCGTGATACGGAGGGGAGGTGAGGGAGGGAGCATATCCTTGTTTCCTTCGTGCCCAATTCGTGCTGTTCCCCCTGGCGTACCTCTCGCCTAGTCATCACCTATCCATTCGCCTCGCGACGAGGGGAAAAGAGAAGCGTGACGAGAGGGAGGGAGAATAGCGACGAGGGGAACGGGAGATGGGCGTCGAAGGGAAGGGCTGCAAGTGCGACTTGGCGAAGGGAGATGGACGCCGAGGGGAAGGGTGAAGGCGGAGAGGGCTGTACGTGCGACGAGGGAATGGAGATGGGTGACGCAGCGATGGGAGATGGGCGACGCGAGGATGGGAGATGGACGACACATGGATGGGAGATGGATGATGTGGGGAAGTGCGACTTGGGGGAGGGCTACACGTGCGACGAGGAGTACGGAGGAGGTTGACGAGGGGGAAGGGACTTGGGCGACGAGGGGATGGGAGATGGACCTTCAAGGTGAATCCCCGCTGAGTGGCAAGGGGAAAGGCGAGGAGTGGCTCACTGGATATTCGTTGCGACACGAATGGTCCGGCACGCGCTTGAAATTCCACAGGTCTTTCGGTTTTTGTCGGTAATGTCCGGAGCAAGCGAGAGATAGCTGCGTGCAATTGCGCCTGGCGTTAGTGCTCGAAAATGCCTCGACGCTTGTGTGCTAGGGAGAGATACCTACGTGCAGCGGTATGCGTCGCAAACAGCATGGGCTGTTAATCGTGAGTTAGCTCGTCTTTCACCTATGCTATGGTTGCCATGGTCATGAGTCCCAAATAAGTCCTAGGCACTTGGAGTCTTGATCCACCCTCCCATCGTTGCTGGTTGCAGTCGCACCCCAGCTGTGGGGGGGGCTCGACCAATCACTTATTGTCGTTCTAGGTTTACCTCTCGTCGCTGAGTTTCAAGGTAAACTTGTGTACTCAGGTTTGGTTTCGTGAGGCCAAGAATCAAAGACTTTGACTCTTGATCGTTCTTGGACTACGCGGTTTAATCAATATTTAACATCGAGTAGACACTCCACGTAGGGAAAATAAACGTTAGCAAACGCCAATGAAAGCTGAATGTGATCCATGTAACACTGACTGAAATAGTTTTGAGGTTCGCACACGCCACAGTTCCAGTGCCGCGAATTTCACGGACTGCCGTGTGCGATGGAGCACTTGAGAAATCATCCGATCGCATTGGACCCCTTTTGAGAGCTCTCATCGTATGTCTGCGCAAAAAATTCCAACGGACTGTGCGCGTCGCCTCGCCATCGTAACTGATCAGTTCAGTCTCGCGAACGCGGCTGTAACCACCTTGCCCGAGTCGCGGTGCCAACAGACCAAACGGTGGTCAGGAATGGTCGGATGGAGGAGGGTGAACTCGCGCTACGCGGTTCGGATTGGGTGATGCGCAATGAGAGGAGGACTTGCGGTTGCGGGGAGATGGTGGGAATCGGGAAACGGGATGGGGGAGGGATTGAAGGGAAAACTTGACCATCACGGATGGGAGCGTTATGGAAGTTGGAAAACCTGGGAGAGAGAGACGAGACGGGGCGGCAGTGGATTATTTTGGAACGTCGCTGTTGATGCAATCAGAGCGGACTGCGAGGAACAGCTGATTACAGAAACATGAGTTGAGGCTCGAGACTTTAGTTCCGAGTCGAAGATCTGACCAGGAGTTAGCAGTAGGCGGAGAGGTTGGGCCGCTAGCCAAGAGCAACTTTAGTGCCCTAAAGGATACGGACGCGCCAGTTAAGTTCCTGGGGTCCGATGCTTTAGCTACGCCGTGCAAATCCGCGCATGTAGTTATGCGGCATAGTGCTAAGGTCGGGTCACCACGGATTCGCCATGGCGACCCCGGTTACCAGCTTCCAAACGCCTGAGTCTACCTAGCTGCAACGAAGCGGTGCTAGTAATCACATTGTCGCGCAACCTAGGACTCGGAGCGTTTCCACTCGTTGGTTGAAGAGTAAAACCTTTTCGCGCTTTTCCTTCGTCTCTCTCGAATTATAACGCTTAATACCTTGATGGGTGCGAGTGCGACAAAAGAGGCAGTCACAGCGCGCGCAGCACCGTGTGCCCCGCGCAGTTGTCACAGCCATAGGCGCTCGCTCGCCGAATCAGCAAGCCGTGACGATCCCAGTGGTAGACCGCGATACGACTCTGATGATGACACGTGTCGCGCTGCCCACCGACGGATCGGCTCCGCCCAAGCCGGCGGAAGTGGCGGAAGTGGTACCAACAGCCCGACGCGGAATGACGGCGGGGGCCCTCGGCTGCGCGACGTGGGGCGGGACGCAATGGTGTGGCGCGACGATTCGTGCCTCGTTGACCCTTCCCTGACGTGCTTCGGCGGAGCCTGGACGGGTGCATTCTCCCGCCGTTCCTCGCCCTACAGCAGCCGGCGCGGCGGGCGGCAAGGCGATTCGTTCGTCGGCCCGACGGGCGTGGGCGGAACGATGGGCGAGGGGGGCCTTGGGGTTGGCGCAATCAGCCAGCTGAAGGGCGCGCTTCGCGGGGGAAGCAGCCGATGCGAGGGATGCGATCTCTCCGCTCTCCATGTCGCGGAGGCGACTGCTGCGAGATTGCGGTCGGCGGGAGCAACGATGGGCGGAGCGATGGGCGGAACGATCAGCGGCACGATCGGCGCTAGGAGGAGTATAGACGATGGTCAGGGGAATGCGGGGGCGAGTGGGCGGAGCGTTGGCTCGAGCAGCCGCGCAAGCAGCGGCAGAAGCAGCGGGAGAGGAAGTGGCAGTGGGGGAAGCAGTGGGGGAAGCAGCGGCAGCACCAGCGCGCTGGACACGCCTGTCATACTGACTCGCTCCGCCTCCTCCCCATCGCTCACCACCTGCTCCTTCCCAAATTCCTCCCCCTCTCCCCTCCCCCTCATGTCCGCCGCCTCACCTCTCCGCTCCCCCTCGCCGTTGGCCTCTCCTCGCTCCCCATCCCCATGCGCGCGTTCCACCCGCCCTTATTCCGCCTGCGCGCATTCAGCACGAGCCCCAACTCCTTCGGAAGAATCCCCTTCGCCCTCCCCGCCGTCCCCCGCAGGCGCGCATCCGTCGTGTCTCGGCGCCTACCGCCTGCTGCCGAGGGCTCGCGCGCGCATTAAGATCGCGACAAGATCTGCCGCCATACGGGGAAGCGGGGGGAGGGGGGAGACTCTCCCTGGGGGGCAGGCGGGAAGGATTGGACGCGATTTGGGGGATGAGGGGTCAGGCGGAGCGGGCGGAGGGGAGGAGAGGCTAGGCGGAATTCTGTGTGCAACGGAGGGCTGCTTATTTGCGGAAAGGCAGTTGTGGGCGGCGAGTGGGCGGAGCACTGAAGGTGTGGGCGACGGAGAAGTGGGCAGGAGAGGGGGAGGCGGGAGAAGTCATTGGGACGGAGAGAGAGACAAGTGGTTGGCCAGGCGAGTCGTGGGAGGGAGTGTGCGATTCATGGGCGACCATGTGCGATCGCTGGGCAACAGCTGGGCAGGCGGTCGCTGGGGTGGAGATGAGGTGAAAGCGAGCAGCCAAGAAAGGGTGCATCAGGTGCGGCGACCAACCATTCCGTGCATTCCGGGTTATTCGCCTCATACTGCGTTCAGATGCCACGCTTCTGGTAGTAATAGTAGCACTGGTGCTGGTGCTGGTGCTGGTGCTGGTGCTGGTGCTGATGCTGGTGCTGGTGTGGCTGGTGTTCTCCCTAGCGGCAAGCCACCTTCATGCCCACCGATTGTTGTTGACAGGACGGCCATGAATACCAGCAGAACCAGCAGCAGCAGCAGCACTCTTGCCCTCCCATTGTCCAACGCAACCACTAGCCCTACCCGCACTAGACTCAGCAGCAGCAGTGGTAGCAGTGGCAACGGCAGGGCAGCCGTGACACACTCCAGACCACCACGCATCCCAGAGCTCTCGGCAGTAGCAGCAGTAGTAGCAGCAGCAGCAGCAGCAGCAGCAGGAGCTGGAGAAGGTGGAGGAGGAGGAGGAGGAGGAGGAGGAGGAGGAGGAGGAGGAGGAGGAGGAGGAGGAGGAGGAGGAGGAGGAGGAGGAGGAGGAGGAGGAGGAGGAGGAGGAGGAGGAGGAGGAGGAGGAGGAGGAGGAGGAGGAGGAGGAGGAGGAGGGAGGAGGAGGAGGAGGAGGAGGAGGAGGAGGAGGAGGAGGAGGAGGAGGAGGAGGAGGAGGAGGAGGAGGAGGAGGAGGAGGAGGAGGAGGAGGAGGAGGAGGAGGAGGAGGAGGAGGGAGGAGGAGGAGGAGGAGGAGGAGGAGGAGGAGGAGGAGGAGAGGGAAAAGGAGCAGCAGCAAGAGCAGCACGAGCAGCAAGAGCAGCAGGCGCAGCAGGAGCGCCGGCACAGGGAACAGGACCCCTCCAGTGGTACCAGAGAAGGTACACCCTAGGGCTCATTCCTGCCTCGTCTTGCTACAAATGCTCCAGCCTGCACTCAACCAGTGAGACTGGCTCGTCTAGCCTCGAGACCCATGGTGGTGGCGGTGGTGGTGGTGGCATGGAGGTGGGACGAAGCTCCCCTGAATCTACAAGTGCTGACGGAGCGAGGAGTGATGGCGAAAGACAGGGCGAGGCGAGGGAAGGGAGAGGGTACAGACAGGGGAACGGATACTGCCATAGGGAGGTGCGGTGGTGTGGCGAGCAAGGGGAGCAGGAGGGCCGTGTGGGGGATGAGGTGGTCAATGAAGTGCACCGGTGTGGCGAGGAGTGTTGCTCTCATGTACAGAGGCTGGATTCTGCTGTGGGTTCTACCATGGGCCCCCATTCCCTGTCACTGGCGCTGCACTCCTGCTGCTCCTCGCCTCCCCCGTTCTCTCCATTGGTGCACCTCTGTCAGCCTAGTATGCGCCGTCGGCCTGGTCGAATTCAGCGGTCTAGATCGTCTCAGGGGCATAGATATGAAGGATACACATTGGGAAAGGGAGGGGGTGCTTGGGCGGTGGGTGGGGAGGAGAGGGATGAGGAGGAGGAGCAGCAGACAGAGGAAGGGTGGGATGAGGAAGAGGAGGAGGAATGGTGGTTGCATCAACCGCGGCCGCAGACCCCCCTGATGCTGCTGGAGTGGCAGGATATGGTGGTGGGGGAAATGGGAGACGAGGAGAAGGAGGACGTGGGGTTCTGGACAAGTGGATGGGCAGGGGGTGGGGGTGCTGGTGGTGGCGGTGCAGGAGGGCGGAGGGGGGAGAGTGGGAGTGAATGGGGCGACGGGACTGAGAACTGGAGGGAAGGCAGCATGGACTGTGAAGTGGTGGAGGATGAATGAGAGCTGCTAAGGGAGTGATGTGCGGTCAAGAAGCGCTGCTTTAAAGAAAACGGCCTGAGAAAAAGGAAGGGATGGGTGACTGGTCCAACCAAGTGATTGATCCAAGTTGTTATGCACCTCTGGTCTGGACAAAATCAGGATGTGCCCATCCAGCACCAAGATATTTAGCGCGCCCTTTGATATAGGACACGAATAGGAGGCTAGGTAAAGGCCACACGCGTGATCTACCCTTGGTTCTGTGGCACTGGTCTGGCGTAATACTGACAAAAAACAAGGTTGAGTGCGGTTCTGAGCTTCTTGTGATATGATATGAAAACTTGGCTGCAGCATGCGCTCTTTATGCATCAATTAAGTTTTAAGGGCTGGTGGTTTTAAAACCACAGGCTAAAAAGGCACACCTTGGGCGCTCTTGAAAACTGAGTTTTTTTGCAGTCTGAACAAACGGCCCGTTATAGGACACTGGTTATCTCCCATGTACGCGAAAAGAAACGCGTTGCGACAATGTGAAACACTGCAAGTGGTGTCAAACTTATTTGTATATGTTCCTATAGCTTAGATAGGGGCATGCCTTAGAGAGTACAGCTCATTAGGTCAAAACCACCCTGTATCCTTCCTTCTAGTTCATTCTACTACTCTGAGATGGTATCAGCTTAGATTAGGTCCGCCCACCAGCTTCCGCCCCAGCCCTAGCCTTCGCGCCCCGGCTGTTCACTTAGCGCCTCGCGAGCCTTAACGCCCCGCTGGCCTTAGCGCCCCGCTGGCCGTTTTTGCGGCCCGCTTGCACACCCCGCCAGCCCTTTGTGCCCTGCCGGCCCCTCATGTCCCGCTGACCCCTTTCGCAACTCGCCAGGCCCTTCGCGCCCTCCCCGCCCCTCGCGCCCCGCTGGCCCCTTTTTGCACCTCGCCAGGCCCTTCGCGCTCCGCCAGGCCCTTCGCGCCCTGCCAGCCCTTCCTGCCCCGCCAGGCTCCTTTGCGCCCCGCCAGGCCCCTTTGCGCCCCGCCAGGCCCCTTCGCGCCCCGCCGGCCCCTCGCGCCCCGCTGGCGGTTTCGCGCCCCGCCAGCCCTATCGTGCTCCGCTGGCCCTTTGCGCCCCGCCAGCCCCTTAGCGCCCTTGCTGGCCCGTTGCGCGACGCCGGCACTTCTGCGCCCCTGCTGGCCCATTGTGCCCCACCGGCCCTTCCGCGCCCCTGCTGGCCCATTGCGCTCCGCCGGCCCCTTCCGCGCGCGCTGTCGGACCTCTGCGCCCCGCCAGCTCTTCCGAGCGCCGCGGGCCCTTTGCGCCCCCACCAGTCGGTGCGCCCCGCTTGCCTCGGTCGTGTTCGCCTTCGTTCCTGCCATGGAGCCGTGCCGCCGAGTCGCCATGCCAACGTGTCGTCGTGCCGCCGTGCTGTCGTGCCGCCGTGCTGTCGTGACGCCGTGCCGCTGTGCCGCTGTGTCGCTGTGCCGCCGTGCCGCCGTGTCGCTGTGCCGCCGTGCCGCCGTGGCATCGAGTCGCTGAGGACGAACGATGGCGGACTCTGTACTCCGCCTAGACGTGGAGGGGCACGTGCTCGACTTCGCCGCCTGGCTTGTCGACCTATGCCATCACCTCACAGGTAAGCGCTAGGATGGTCACTCCCTGGCTGTGCATGTCGATGGCTTGCTACCCCGCCCCTCCGCACCTGATTCCCTCCCTGCTGACCCCACCACTGCTCAGCGTGAGGCCTTTTCTGCTACTGCGCTTGCTCGCGCTGTCTGAGATTCGCGCGATGCCGTAGCGCAGCTTGCCATTAGTCACGCTCTTCCCGTGTCTGAGCGTACGCGCTTTACTGCTGATTTGAACGCCAAGGAATGCTTAGATGCCGTAGTTGCGCGCTACTCCACGGCCGCCTCTGCCTCTGTTGGCCGCCTGATCTACCCCATGTTGTTCCCTGATCTCGCCGCCTTCCCCACTGTAGCTGACCTAGCCACTCACCTCCGTGCACTAGAGGCTAGCTACCGCACCGCTAGCACTAAGGCCTAGCTTACGGCCTTCCCCCCGACGCTTTGCGCTACCCTGTACCTCCTTGCCACGCGCCTTTCAGACCGCATAACCACTGCCCGCGACCACTTCCTTAATCAGCACCCAGGTGACCTTACCCTTACCGCCATTGTCACCGCACTGTCTGAGATAGAGCCTTGCCAACGCACTATCGCTTAGTCGAGCGGTACTGCGGCAGCCCCTATCTTTCAGGGTTGTGCGCCCTCCCAGTGCACTTACGATGACGTTTCTGCCGATGTCGCCGCGGCAGCCCCTGCCGCTGAGACCGCAGGTGCGGCCTCCGCGTAGCCGCGCCAGCGTCAGGGCCACCACCCCAAAGGGGGGCGTGGTGATGGGGATGGTGGAGGTGTCGGGGGGAACAGTGGGTCCAATGAGGGGACCGGGGCTGCTCAGGAGCAGGAGCAGCAGCAGTAGCAGCAGTCGTGGGCCCGCCTCCCACCGGAGTGGCCCGAAGCCTCTGTTGGTGGTGGCCGCGTTGGCGGCCCTCGCAGCTCGGCGTCGGGTGGCACCTTTGGCACTAGGGATTGCCATTACCAACTCCAGACCGGCCCCCTCCGCGGCACTGTGTGTCGTTGCCCGCACCCTACCGCCCGCTGCTTCCGCCGCCTTGACGACCACTTTCGTCGCCGCTTCGGCCCGGCGCTGGACCTCCCTGACAGAGCCAGTCTGCTGCGCCACGGTGTTCTTGACTTTAAGTTAGATATGGATCAGATTTGTTCTGCTCTGCATTCCCCGTATGCTGATGCTTCGAGTGTGCCCGGATCTTATTACATTGTGTTGCCTAGTTTAGGTGTGTTTCCTGTATGTAGTACAGACTCCCCTGCAGCGTCAGGCATAGGACCTTCTGCCTTGTATAGTCTATGATCCACGCTCGTTCCTCCATCGGCCGCAGCTTCCACTTCACTCTCCTTTACCTTCAATATGGCGCATCTGCCTGCGTCTTTCGCAACCACGCTGCACCTGTCGCTGCCGCGCTCGTTGTTCCCCGTAGCTACACTACCCTTCCTTGCTCAGCGGTTCCCTCGAGTTCTCTTACATGCCTGCACATCCCTTCATTCTCCTGGAACCTAGTTGGTGTCGGCGGTCTTTAGGATCTCAGAGTCACCACTACGTTCCCTGGTCACGAGCGGTACGCTCTCTGTACCGAGGCCGCCTCAGGTGCCCCCCTTGCGACGTTCCCCCGGGACCCGGTGTCTGGCCTGTCTAAGCTGGACACTGCTTCCCCCTCGGTGGGCGCGTCCTCCCCGCTTCCTGCATCTACCCAGGTCGTTGCGCCTTGCTCGTGTTGGTCCCTCACTGTCACAGGATCGAATGTCCCGAGGAAAGGTTTGCTCAATGTTGCACTATCAGTCAGTACAAGGTGCCTTTATACTTCCAGAGTACATTAGGTAACCAGGTTTATCCTATCCAAAGGGAATAGACCCTTCTAGAAATAGAATCACCATGCGTATAGCCACGTGAGGCTATTGGCTTTAAGGGATTACGGCAGGATTACGCTAGATATAGCGCGCCAGTACATCCCGAGCCTGGTCGGTGATGTAATCATAATAACAGGATAAACCAAAGGATCATGGAAAAGGAGGAATAGGAAACCAAATGAGATGAGATAAAGACCAAATGAATCAGGATAAAAAGAGGAATGAAATAGAAAGGAAATATGGAAAGGGGAAATTGGTGTAACGGGGTCGTAATCTCACACTTCCCCCCCTCAAAGCTGGGTGGTAGAAGTAACACCTTGCTTGACAAGGTAGTCGCGAAGAGGACGACGGGCGTTATCCATGTCGAATTCAGAGACCCAACTATCCTCTGAAGGATCATAACCCTTCCAACAGATGAGAAGCTCTACGTTGCCAGTCCGTCGACGGCGGTGAGAAAGCATGGACTTGACCTCGTACTCGGGTTCATCATGGACGAGGACGGGCGGCGGCGGCGGCGGTTGGCGTCCAGAGAAGACGTTGTTGGGATCTCGGTAGGGCTTCAAGAGTTGGACATGGAAGGCGTTGTGAATGTTCCAGGTAGCTGGCAGGCGTAAGCGGAAGGTAACAAGAGTGACCTGTGCTTCAACGAGGAGAAGCGAGGTCGCAGTTTGGATGGGAGATGGCCGATATCAAGATTGCGCGTGTCGAGCAGTACTCGGTATCCCACAGTGATGGTGTGGTCTGTGCGGTGGCGATCGGCCTGGCGCTTTGGTTGTTGCTGAATGTCAAGAAGGCGCTTGTGGGTCCGATCCTAAAGTTTGTGCATGGTCGTGATGAAATCATGAGCGGGTTGGACTGTGGCTGGTATGGTTGGCTGTTGTGGTGTGATCGGGTGGCGTCCGTAACAGAGGAAGAACGATGTCTGTCCAGTAGCGGCATGAGTAGTATTGTTGTAGGCAAACTCCAGGACGGGCAGATGCAAGTCCCACTTGGAGATTTCGTCCTTGTTGGCTGCGCGGAGTAGTTGCTCTACAATTTGGTTAAGACGCTTAGTCTGGCCGTCTGTGTACGGATGGTATGCGGATGACATGGCGATGATCGTAAGAAAATTGGACTGTAGCAAGAACTGTCTGTTGCTACGGAATGAGCGAGCTCCGTCCACAGTAAGGAAGGATGGTGTGTATCGCCGTCAGTGACATATGGGAAGGTGCAAGTTGGAGTTGGAGATGTGAATGGTTGGAACAGTGTGCTGTAACTTGTAGATGAATGGCTGTGTTGCCCAATCTGTGCATGCTGTTACCCGCATCTGGTCCACGTGTGAAGATCACGAAGTGTTGGTGGTATGGCAGTCGTGCCATAGTACTGCTTCCGTAGAAGTGTTGTATCCGACACATGCAGCTTCTGTCGAATGCTGGTCCATGCCTTGGTGTTGTCGCGAGTCGTACACACTCAGCATCGTAGTGCTGCTCAGCGTATCCCTTGTTTTCAGAACCATGTGAGGGGTTGGTACCACAAACGCGGAGCTGGTAACTTCCAGAATCGGCGCCAAGGTACTGTAGTTTCCCTCGGTGGTTGCCCAAGCAAGGAATCTCAGCTGCGTAGATATCCCACGATGATGGGTTAGGACATTTGGGAATGTTGGGGCTATTCCCAAATAATTCTCTCCCATTTCCAAATTAGCATTACTGGCAGCCAATCCAGTATGACCTTATGCACTTCGAGTTTAGCACGGACGCCATCGGTAGGCATCGATGTCTGGGCGCACATATTGGGATAGGTCTTCTGGTGCCATCATGTGTTGTCTCATTCTGTCACTGTCCTTGAAGTAGCGTTGATGTCGAAGACGTCTCAGCTACTCAGCATCGGTGTTGAAGTCTGCTCCATTTCAGCAAATAGGGGTGTTGTTGCAGATGCACGGAGTCCACTTTCCAGAGTGGCGTCGGCGCTCCATTCCACACCTATCTGCTTCCGTGGAGTTGGTGCTGGTGATGGATTAGTTGCGACGCAGGTTTTATGACTTTAAGGAAAACCATAGGCCACGAGGACTTGTATACCGGTAGAGTACCGTTGTCCTCCCATCCTCATAAGAGCAAATATCTCCTGCTCTTGAGGGTATATGGCATTGTCATAGCTATTGTTTCCTCGCATAGTGGTATCTCCTCCCCACTAGCTGGAAATCATAGTATTGTGCCTGGCGGGGACTTTACGATCCACTGGAATATAATCCAGCATTATCTCCATTGAGCGGAGAATCATCCATCAGGGTTTGGATATGACTATTGTGTCGAGTCTTCTACTGCGGCGGAGGCGGCGGTTGCGACGACGGCGACAACGGCAGCTGCTGCAGAGAATTCTCTTAACTCGTACCGGTTGAAGGAGAATCCATCAACTCCCTCATCCGAGTAGAGTTGTCCTGATGGGGGTAACAAGCGTAACTACCAGGAACACGTGCACATTGGTACACATGGGTTGCTCCATTGCTGCCGGTGATTGTTTCATTTGAGGGTATAAAGAGAAACTTGCTTCTCCCCTCAATGTATCCACGGGTAGCAATTCCTGGTATGCTCATCCGTGCCTCCGATGTACAGTCGGTAGAGCGCGTGATCGTGTTGTAGTAGTCCGCAACTTCCTCATTTGTTGACACCTCGTCTTGCTTAGCATTCTCCTACATCGCCGAAGTTACGCTGGTGCTTGTAACGCTTCGGCTTCTAATAGAATGACCTCCAATGCATGTGCCGTAGGGTCGCTAGTGAACGATTACTTGCCGGATTTGAGGTTAATTACTCCTCAATCTGTCAAGCATCGTGACATGCACGGAAAAATTTCCACGCAGGTCATTAACAACTGGAATCGCGACGCATGATTGGTGTGTCGCCTCGTGAGGTTGATGTTGAGACTGCTCCAATCAATCACTTCGGATGGCTGAGATTCTTGATGAAGACGAATCGATCAGCTCCTGTTACAAAGTAGTGTCTCGCTGGCCTTGACGAGACGGGTTCACTGCGTCATCGTTGCGTGCGAAATCTGCTCCTTCGCAGCAACTTGAACTTGGGAGCATTGCAAGAGAAAACGGCTACTTCTCTGCAATCCCATAGCTTGTCAATTGAATTGACGGGATGAAGTGTCTCATGGATGGAGAACATGTCTTCACGCAGCTCCATTATTTTTCCTGGGTGAAGATCCGCTGTGTTGATGTCGATCCATTTTTAACGAAGATGACTTCGTCAAAATAACTCGATCGTTATCAACACCAGTTAGACGACGCGTCGATTTTGCAGTCGCTGGTCACGAATATTGTCTCTATGATGATGATTTCCCATAGTGTGGTTTCCGCTGCATTCGTGCCGTTGATTCCGCATCGATCCGACGATCCACGTTCTCCTGTCAGTTTTCTGCTTGCAACTATTACCACATAGGTAATACTCTGGCAGATTTCTGACTATGCAGATGATTTGGCGCCCCAAATTCGTGACCAACTGGAGGAATCCGAATTTGGCTGTCCAGATGGAGAAACGGTGTCGAAGGCAACTGATTTCTGGTTCTGCGCGTCATTCTCCCTTTGTGCAGAAGTCGCATTCCATCTCATCCGTTGAAGTAGAAGTTGATCCGACGGTCAAAACTCCAAGCGATCTGAAGATCTTCCTGAGTCGCGTTCAGCAGCTTTCGGTGCCCGGGGTGACACGTTTCCTGCAGCAATTCTCGGTCGTCGATGTCGGCTGTCGAACGATCGGACGATCCGAAGAACTTCATGGCTTGCGAGGTCCCGTTCCCATTTGCGCGGAAACTCGAACTCACTCAGAAGGTTTCGTTTTCGCCTCGGTCGATCTGAAGCGTCGAATCCCCATCGGACGGATTTCGTCGGTCGAAGCTCCACACTTTTCCGCGTAACTCCGAGTGTCGTCGCGAACTGCGAACTCCTCGGAATGTCGCAGGGAGTGTTCCGCCAGAAGTGACGCGTTCGTGAGGTCAAGGCAGTTTGCCCCCGCGAGAAATCGGCTCCGTCGATGGAGTCCATCGAACGGTTGGCGAGGCATCTCGCCTTCGAAGGGGACCCCCTGTGCAACTGCGAGACCTGAGTCGAAACGTAAAAGAAAGTGCATTGTACTTACAGGAATTGAAGTTTCGACTCCATCCTCCGCGTGCTCCTGGGGGCCCAGCGGTTAAGCGTTGAGCTGAAACCTTGGCTCTAATTACCAAGTGTTACAGGATCGAATGTCCCGAGGAAAGGTTTGCTCAATGTTGCACTATCAATCAGTACAAGGTGCCTTTATACTTCCAAAGTACATTAGGTAAGCAGGTTTATCCTATCCAAAGGGAATAGACCCTTCTAGAAATAGAATCACCATGCGTATAGCCACGTGAGGCTATTGGCTTTAAGGGATTACGGCAGGATTACGCTAGATATAGCGCGCCAGTACATCCCGAGCCTGGTCGGTGATATAATCATAATAACAGGATAAACCAAAGGATAATGGAAAAGGAGGAATAGGAAACCAAATGAGATGATATAAAGACCAAATGAATCAGGATAAAAAGAGGAATGAAATAGAAAGGAAATATGGAAAGGGAAAATTGGTGTAACGGGGTCGTACTCTCACACTCACTCACCCGTCGCTTCTGTGGCACCACTGCCTAGGTCACCCCACACTCATGCGTCTGCGTTATATGTCTCAGCACGGTCTTGTCCTAGGTCTCCCAGCGTCGCTCCCTGCCCTCCCTCCCTTACATGCGCCACCGTGCACGCCCTGCATCAAGGGCCGGCTGCACCGTGCTATGGTCATGGAGGTTGCTCGTACCTCCATGATCCATGTTGGTGCACCCCATTTTCTGTGGTCGTATGGCGTTCGCTACGCCGCTTACCAGCTTAACCTGTGGCCATAGTCCTAGCGGCCGCAGGTTTCGCCGAACCTCCTCTGTACCGGGTTGCCTGGTGACGCGTCCGCGTTAAACGTCTTGGGTTGCCTCGCTCACATTCGTGCCTCTGGCACGGACAAGCTCACTCCCCGCACTGTCCCTTGTGTCGTCCTTGCTTTCCCCGTTGCAGCAGCCGTCGCCGCCGCCGCAGCACCCGTAGTCGTCGTCGCAGCCGCAGCAGCAGTCGCCGCCGCTGTAGCGGCATTACCCATCCACGAGCTCTAGAGGTGCGGGTGTTGAGGAGGGTGCTGGTCCTAGGGGTGCAAGTTCTGGGGGTGCTAGTCCTAGACTTACTGTCGTGGCTTGTCCTAGCGGTCACGGGGGTGGCACCGGTACTGGAGAGGGTTCTCGTTCTAGGGGTGCTGGAGTGAAGCGTTCCGGGGGTAGCAGTGGTGCAGTTGGAGGTTCTGGTGTCGGCATGGAGCAGCAGCAGCAAGAGTTGCCGCCGGTGTCCGCCCTTCGCCTGCTCGGCCTTCCCTTCCCTGACCACGTGCCTACGCCTCCTTCGTCGCCGCCTCCCCTGCCTGTCTACGGCTCTGTGTTTCATCCACCGGACTTGTCCCTTGCTTATTTCCCCACTCGTTCTTCTCCTGTGACTCCTTCTGTGTCTCTTCACCCGACGCCTCCGTCCCACTTCTGGACTCGTCATCTCTCTCGTGCTCGTCCTGTCTCTTCTATCAAGTGCTCTAACCCCATGTTGCTTTGTTCCCAAGCGTCTTGTCCTCTCCTCCTCCCCTCGCCTCCTCCGTTGTCGCTCGTTGTCGCTCCGCCTCCTTTGTCAGCCTACCTTCGTACCGCTCGTCCTCTTATTCCTCGGGTCCTTGCCTCCCTCGTTACCGACACGCCTGAACCTGTCTCGCGTCTTGACGCTCTTGTTGCTGCTGACGCTGACATAGACTCTACCCGCTGCCTTGACTACGCCATAGCTTTGGTCTCTGGCCCTGCCTGCCCTCCGTCCGTCGGGGGTGCTCCTTCCCTTGGCAGTGACGTCCCAGAGGATAGGCAGTACGAGCTTGTTTTCCTGTCCGAGGTCGCTCCCCATCTCTGTTACATGCTGCTAGTCCCTGAGTGTGACCCAAACGCTCTTGATATCTCGACCCCTCGCACTAACCCTGAGGCGACCTCGGGACCTTGGGCTTCTTGGTGGATAGCTGCCATGGAGCAAGAGATGACATCTTGGGGATCCACTGGCACCTTCATCGACGCAGTTCCCCCACCTGG